CTAAAGTGACACAGGCCATAAGTCTTTGTTATAATGTTGATGGCTGTTTATGTAATATTCAAATGTCTCAGATGTTTTATATATATATAGGTTTTTAGAAGCTTTGAGCCAATTATCTCCACGAGACAAGACAAGATTTCCCCTCTGCAGAAAAGCTTTGTCCAAACATTTTGTTGAATTCATTTAGACTTTTTTTGCATTTTAACAAAAATTCCAACGTATATCTTTGTCTTGAATCCTTTTGAACGCCTGAAAAACTGCTCTGAACTGTGACATTGGAGCATTTGCTGAATGTGATGCGGACTTGTGTGCGGCATCTGTTTAACGGCGCTGTGTCTGTACCTTCTGATGACACTCACAGGCTTTGATCTGCTCCGTTCAAACAAAGGTTCACATTTTACTGCTTCCTAAGGGATCGCACCCAGTGAATAAAACCCCTTTTGTTAACTTAGGAAATAATTACACTCTGATCTCTCCCGCTTCTGCATGAAGGTCTATACAATACATGTCCCAGTGAATTAGTAAGTGGATTATATTGCACGGCAGGATCTGTATTTTATTCACATACCATTAATTGCATGCTCTCTTTGGTATCTCTCATCATCCGCCAATGACCCCCGCAATACCGCCCCACCCCCCGCCGCGGTCTCTTATCTGCCCCTCCATCCCAGCGCTGTTTGGTGATAAGCCAAGAGAAAGAGGCCACTGTCCAGCACACATGCCGCCCATGTGACAGGCCGTCGCAGGAGCCTGATGGTCGCGTTGAAAACTCCATATGTTTGTGTAATGGAAGTGGCCGTGTTAGCAACTGTACGTCACAATATCAAGTTTCATGCCCCCCCTTCTCCAAACGATGAATGTCGTTCACTAGTAGAGGCCAAAAACAATCTGCTTTCTTTGTACTGCTTCATAAACTGCTTATAAATCCAGACTCTTAAACCGGTTATTAACTTAAAATAATCAACGACTCTTCTGGCCACCCTGGAAAAGTATATAAGTAAAGTGACATGAGGTAAAGTGACATTGTTCTGTGACATCCTGAAGTTGCAGTATTGCACATTGCACATGATTTAAGAATTTACTTAATTAACAGATGAATGAAATTTATGAAATTTACAGGCTCAGCAGTTCTTATTGTACAGTCTGACAGCAGCAGGAAGGAAAGACCTACGGAACCTCTCCTTCACACAGCGAGGGTGAATTAGTCTGTCACTGAAGCTGCTCTCCAGAGCAGAGAGTGTCCTGCAGGGGGCGACAGTCATGGTCCAACATAGATGTTAGTTATGTTCAAGGAGACATATACCACAGTTCTATATAAAAAAAAAACTGCTCTAACCTGGGTTTGTACATTGTCGGAGAAGGGGCCGTCTCACATTTTAAGGAAGACTGTTCCAGATTTTAGCTGCATAAATCTAAAATACTGCCTCCTCATGTTTAGTTCTGACTCTGGGACCAGCAGGAGGCCAGTCCCTGTGCTCCTCAGAGTTTGAGTTGGTTCCTAAAGGGCACCTGTGGTATATTCTTTTGTGTATACCTTTTCAGTTCACCGTCCAGGAGAATGTGTTTTAATTTGATTCTGTTTAAGTTTAGCCTTTAATACGTCTAATATGTCTAACATGTTTAATACGCCTAATATGTTTAATATGTCTAATACGTCTGATATGTCTAATATGTCTAACATGTTTAATACGCCTAATATGTTTAATATGTCTAATACGTCTGATATGTCTAATATGTCTAACATGTTTAATACGCCTAATATGTTTAATATGTCTAATACGTCTGATATGTCTAATATGTCTAATATGTCTAATATGACTAATATGTCTAATATGTCTAATATGTCTAATATGTCTAATACGTCTAATACGTCTAATACGTCTAATACGTCTAATACGTCTAATACGTCTAATACGTCTAATATGTCTAATATGACTAATATGTCTAATATGTCTAATATGTCTAATATGACTAATATGTCTAATATGTCTAATATGACTAATATGTCTAATATGTCTAATATGTCTAATATGTCTAATACGTCTAATACGTCTAATACGTCTAATACGTCTAATACCTCTAATACGTCTAATACGTCTAATACGTCTAATACGTCTAATATGTCTAATATGACTAATATGTCTAATATGTCTAATATGTCTAATAAGCCTAATATGTTTAATACGTCTAATATGACTAATATGTCTAATATGTCTAATATGTCTAATATGTCTAATACGTCTAATACGTCTAATACGTCTAATACGTCTAATACGTCTAATACCTCTAATACGTCTAATACGTCTAATACGTCTAATACGTCTAATATGTCTAATATGTATAATATGTCTAATATGTCTAATATGTTTAATACGTCTAATATGTCTAATATGACTAATATGTCTAATATGTCTAATACGTCTGATATGTCTAATATGTCTAACATGTTTAATACGCCTAATATGTCTAATATGACTAATATGTCTAATATGTCTAATATGTCTAATATGTCTAATATGTCTAATATGTCTAATATGTCTAATACGTCTAATACGTCTAATATGTCTAATATGTCTAATATGTCTAATATGTCTAATATGTCTAATACGTCTAATACGTCTAATACGTCTAATACGTCTAATACGACTAATATGTCTAATATGTCTAATATGTCTAATACGCCTAATATGTTTAATATGTCTAATATGTATAATATGTCTAATATGTCTAATATGTTTAATACGTCTAATATGTCTAATATGACTAATATGTCTAATATGTCTAATATGTTTAATACGTCTAATATGTCTAATATGACTAATATGTCTAATATGTCTAATATGTTTAATACGTCTAATATGTCTAATATGACTAATATGTCTAATATGTCTAATACGTCTAATACGTCTAATATGTCTAATATGTCTAATACGTCTAATACGTCTAATACGTCTAATATGTCTAATATGTCTAATATGTCTAATATGTCTAATACGTCTAATATGTTTAATATGTCTAATATGACTAATATGACTAATACGTCTAATACGTTTAATATGTCTAATATGACTAATACGTTTAATATGTCTAATATGTCTAATATGTCTAATACGTCTAATACGTCTAATATGTCTAATATGTCTAATACGTCTAATACGTCTAATATGTTTAATATGTTTAATAAGTCTAATACGTCTAATACGTCTAATACGTCTAATACGTCTAATATGTCTAATATGTCTAATACGTCTAATATGTCTAATATGTCTAATACGTCTAATACGTCTAATATGTTTAATATGTTTAATACGTCTAATACGTCTAATACGTCTAATACGTCTAATATGACTAATATGTCTACTTGGAATTAACTTTGTGTTTGGTGGTAATAGTTACAGGCATGCTTCAGTTTCCATGTCTCCTCCACGTTGAGAATCTCTATCAATCAATCAATCAACGTTTATTTGTAGAGCGCCTTTCCTACACAAGGCAACGCAAAGCGCTTCACATCCCCTATCACATCATGCATAAATCAAACACATTAAGAGCACAAGATATATTAAAAACATTAAAAATAAAATCACAAAAATTAAAAACCTTTAAACATTAAAATCACAGATGGGACTAAAATCATAAATAGTCACAGTGCATTAAAAAGATTAAAGATAAAAACAAAGATGAAAAGATAAAATCATTCAGTTGTATATGTGCTGAAAGATAATGAGACAGGCTTCCAAGAATAAAACAGCAAACAAACTCGTGCGCCCATTATTTTTTCAGTTGTACAGATAGAACTCCTAACTATGACAATATACAAATCTGTGTTCAAGCCAGACAGAGGCAATGAATCCTGATTTACATACGCCTTCAACACGAGCTTGTACGTTTTACATATGGTGACACCGATCCCAAAGTCTTTTTAGATCAGATATGATAGATTGAAATGTTCAAAATACATAATGATGATAAAGCACATACGCCTCATACATTACAGTTAAATAGGTTGTGCTTTAGTAAATAAAAGGTCCAATCTGCCTCTGTACATATTTACACAGTGTGTGTTGTTCTGTAGTGACTTGTGGATGTTGTTTCTTAGCCTGAAATCTATAAGTAGTGAAAATGAACTTCTCACTGTTATTTGATGACTGTGTTTTATGACAGAGCTCTATAGTTTATATATGCAGACAGGTTTTTGCACCGTTGAGCTTACTCCGGACCCTCCTCCAAAATGTATCGTGGACAGGTATACATTTAAGAATAAGATTAAGAATGAGGAGCACGCAGCACAAGATAAATGGGTAATAAAATCTCTAGCTTTAGCATAATAATCCCTTTATTGACCAATGGTTCTATGCATTTTTTTATCAATTCTTTTCTTGTGTTTGAACCGTTTGATTCTCTGATCTGTGTTGGCGAATCAACGGATTTGTAAAGTCCTCCAAGATAACTACACAAGAATACATTGAATTTAATTTAATTAAGGAAATAAGTCTAAAATCTCAACATTTAGAAATCAAAAGAAGTAAGTGTAAAATCTTTAGTGTTAGCATAATAAGGGAGTAACTTGAGTATTAGTAGTAGTAGTAGTTTAATTTAGCATATTTATTTTACAATGTATTTCTACAGGTACATATCATTTTAAGAAACAAAGCAAATACTTTATAAAGAAGCAAAAATTAAGCATGAAAATCTCTGACTTTATTGAAACAAGAAGTAAGTAAAATATGTATAGTTGTATGCATAACTTGAGAGCTTTTCGACCGACAACACAAAAGCCAAATATCCTCTGGACATACAGCGACGCTGCCAGGCCAGTGTCCAGTGGTCCCTCTGCTGGGCTCGGTCCCGCTGGTCCCGCTGGTCCCGCTGGTCCCGCTGGTCCCGCTGGTCCCGTTGGCCTGTCCGGGGCCAGAGCAGTGGGTGGCTCCACAGATGGCTGCAGCAGGTATAGTGCCATCCGCCTGGCTGCTAACCAAAGGACTTCAAAAGCTCCTGCCCATTTAAAACCCAGAGGCACACAGCAGAAGAGAACGGAGGAGCACCGGGGCCTTAGTCCAATGAAGCATGGAAATGAGGAGCTCTGGTGCCTCCTCCTCCTCCGTCACTTTGGCTGTTGCTGTTGTTGTCTCCTCCGTCACTTTGGCTGTTGCTGTTGTTGTCTCCTCCTCCTCCGTCACTTTGGCTGTTGCTGCTGTTGTCTCTCCTCCTCCGTCACTTTGGCTGTTGCTGCTGTTGTCTCCTCCTCCTCCGTCACTTTGGCTGTTGCTGCTGTTGTCTCCTCCTCCTACGTCACTTTGGCTGTTGCTGTTGTTGTCTCCTCCGTCACTTTGGCTGTTGCTGCTGTTGTCTCCTCCTCCTCCGTCACTTTGGCTGTTGCTGTTGTTGTCTCTCCTCCTCCTCCGTCACTTTGGCTGTTGTTGCTGTTGTCTCCTCCGTCACTTTGGCTGTTGCTGCTGTTGTCTCCTCCTCCGTCACTTTGGCTGTTGCTGCTGTTGTCTCCTCCTCCTCCGTCACTTTGGCTGTTGCTGCTGTTGTCTCCTCCTCCTCCGTCACTTTGGCTGTTGCTGCTGTTGTCTCTCCTCCTCCTCCGTCACTTTGGCTGTTGTTGCTGTCGTCTCTCCTCCGTCATTTTGGCTGTTGCTGCTGTTCTCTCCTCCTCCTCCGTCACTTTGGCTGTTGTTGCTGTTGTCTCCTCCTCCTCCGTCACTTTGGCTGTTGCTGTTGTTGTCTCCTCCTCCTCCGTCACTTTGGCTGTTGCTGCTGTTGTCTCCTCCTCCTCCGTCACTTTGGCTGTTGCTGCTGTTGTCTCCTCCTCCTCCGTCACTTTGGCTGTTGCTGCTGTTGTCTCTCCTCCTCCGTCACTTTGGCTGTTGCTGCTGTTGTCTCTCCTCCTACGTCACTTTGGCTGTTGCTGCTGTTGTCTCTCCTCCTCCGTCACTTTGGCTGTTGCTGCTGTTGTCTCCTCCGTCACTTTGGCTGTTGCTGCTGTTGTCTCCTCCTCCTCCGTCACTTTGGCTGTTGCTGTTGTTGTCTCTCCTCCTCCTCCGTCACTTTGGCTGTTGTTGCTGTTGTCTCCTCCGTCACTTTGGCTGTTGCTGCTGTTGTCTCCTCCTCCGTCACTTTGGCTGTTGCTGCTGTTGTCTCCTCCTCCTCCGTCACTTTGGCTGTTGCTGCTGTTGTCTCCTCCTCCTCCGTCACTTTGGCTGTTGCTGCTGTTGTCTCTCCTCCTCCTCCGTCACTTTGGCTGTTGTTGCTGTTGTCTCTCCTCCGTCACTTTGGCTGTTGCTGCTGTTCTCTCCTCCTCCTCCGTCACTTTGGCTGTTGTTGCTGTTGTCTCCTCCTCCTCCGTCACTTTGGCTGTTGCTGTTGTTGTCTCCTCCTCCTCCGTCACTTTGGCTGTTGCTGCTGTTGTCTCCTCCTCCTCCGTCACTTTGGCTGTTGCTGCTGTTGTCTCCTCCTCCTCCGTCACTTTGGCTGTTGCTGCTGTTGTCTCTCCTCCGTCACTTTGGCTGTTGCTGCTGTTGTCTCCTCCTCCTCCGTCACTTTGGCTGTTGCTGCTGTTGTCTCTCCTCCTCCGTCACTTTGGCTGTTGCTGCTGTTGTCTCCTCCTCCTACGTCACTTTGGCTGTTGCTGTTGTTGTCTCCTCCGTCACTTTGGCTGTTGCTGCTGTTGTCTCCTCCTCCTCCGTCACTTTGGCTGTTGCTGTTGTTGTCTCTCCTCCTCCTCCGTCACTTTGGCTGTTGTTGCTGTTGTCTCCTCCGTCACTTTGGCTGTTGCTGCTGTTGTCTCCTCCTCCGTCACTTTGGCTGTTGCTGCTGTTGTCTCCTCCTCCGTCACTTTGGCTGTTGCTGCTGTTGTCTCCTCCTCCTCCGTCACTTTGGCTGTTGCTGCTGTTGTCTCTCCTCCTCCTCCGTCACTTTGGCTGTTGTTGCTGTTGTCTCTCCTCCGTCACTTTGGCTGTTGCTGCTGTTCTCTCCTCCTCCTCCGTCACTTTGGCTGTTGTTGCTGTTGTCTCCTCCTCCTCCGTCACTTTGGCTGTTGCTGCTGTTGTCTCCTCCTCCTCCGTCACTTTGGCTGTTGCTGTTGTTGTCTCCTCCTCCTCCGTCACTTTGGCTGTTGCTGTTGTTGTCTCCTCCTCCTCCGTCACTTTGGCTGTTGCTGCTGTTGTCTCCTCCTCCTCCGTCACTTTGGCTGTTGCTGCTGTTGTCTCCTCCTCCTCCGTCACTTTGGCTGTTGCTGCTGTTGTCTCTCCTCCTCCGTCACTTTGGCTGTTGCTGCTGTTGTCTCCTCCTCCTCCGTCACTTTGGCTGTTGCTGCTGTTGTCTCTCCTCCTACGTCACTTTGGCTGTTGCTGCTGTTGTCTCTCCTCCTCCGTCACTTTGGCTGTTGCTGCTGTTGTCTCCTCCTCCTCCGTCACTTTGGCTGTTGCTGCTGTTGTCTCCTCCTCCTCCGTCACTTTGGCTGTTGCTGTTGTTGTCTCTCCTCCTCCTCCGTCACTTTGGCTGTTGTTGCTGTTGTCTCCTCCGTCACTTTGGCTGTTGCTGCTGTTGTCTCCTCCTCCGTCACTTTGGCTGTTGCTGCTGTTGTCTCCTCCTCCTCCGTCACTTTGGCTGTTGCTGCTGTTGTCTCCTCCTCCTCCGTCACTTTGGCTGTTGCTGCTGTTGTCTCTCCTCCTCCTCCGTCACTTTGGCTGTTGTTGCTGTTGTCTCTCCTCCGTCACTTTGGCTGTTGCTGCTGTTCTCTCCTCCTCCTCCGTCACTTTGGCTGTTGTTGCTGTTGTCTCCTCCTCCTCCGTCACTTTGGCTGTTGCTGTTGTTGTCTCCTCCTCCTCCGTCACTTTGGCTGTTGCTGCTGTTGTCTCCTCCTCCTCCGTCACTTTGGCTGTTGCTGCTGTTGTCTCCTCCTCCTCCGTCACTTTGGCTGTTGCTGCTGTTGTCTCTCCTCCGTCACTTTGGCTGTTGCTGCTGTTGTCTCCTCCTCCTCCGTCACTTTGGCTGTTGCTGCTGTTGTCTCCTCCTCCGTCACTTTGGCTGTTGCTGCTGTTCTCTCCTCCTCCTCCGTCACTTTGGCTGTTGTTGCTGTTGTCTCCTCCTCCTCCGTCACTTTGGCTGTTGCTGCTGTTGTCTCCTCCTCCTCCGTCACTTTGGCTGTTGTTGCTGTTGTCTCCTCCTACGTCACTTTGGCTGTTGCTGTTGTTGTCTCCTCCGTCACTTTGGCTGTTGCTGCTGTTGTCTCTCCTCCGTCACTTTGGCTGTTGCTGCTGTTGTCTCTCCTCCTCCGTCACTTTGGCTGTTGCTGCTGTTGTCTCTCCTCCTACGTCACTTTGGCTGTTGTTGCTGTTGTCTCCTCCTCCTCTGTCACTTTGGCTGTTGCTGCTGTTGTCTCCTCCTCCTCCGTCACTTTGGCTGTTGCTGCTGTTGTCTCTCCTCCGTCACTTTGGCTGTTGCTGCTGTTGTCTCCTCCTCCTCCGTCACTTTGGTTGTTGCTGTTGTCTCTCCTCCGTCACTTTGGCTGTTGCTGTTGTTGTCTCCTCCTACGTCACTTTGGCTGTTGCTGCTGTTGTCTCCTCCTCCTCCGTCACTTTGGCTGTTGCTGCTGTTGTCTCCTCCTCCTCCGTCACTTTGGCTGTTGCTGCTGTTGTCTCTCCTCCTCCTCCGTCACTTTGGCTGTTGTTGCTGTTGTCTCTCCTCCGTCACTTTGGCTGTTGCTGCTGTTCTCTCCTCCTCCTCCGTCACTTTGGCTGTTGTTGCTGTTGTCTCCTCCTCCTCCGTCACTTTGGCTGTTGTTGCTGTTGTCTCTCCTCCTCCGTCACTTTGGCTGTTGCTGCTGTTCTCTCCTCCTCCTCCGTCACTTTGGCTGTTGCTGCTGTTGTCTCTCCTCCTCCGTCACTTTGGCTGTTGCTGTTGTTGTCTCCTCCTCCTCCGTCACTTTGGCTGTTGCTGCTGTTGTCTCCTCCTCCGTCACTTTGGCTGTTGCTGCTGTTGTCTCCTCCGTCACTTTGGCTGTTGCTGTTGTTGTCTCCTCCTCCTCCGTCACTTTGGCTGTTGTTGCTGTTGTCTCTCCTCCTCCGTCACTTTGGCTGTTGCTGCTGTTCTCTCCTCCTCCTCCGTCACTTTGGCTGTTGCTGCTGTTGTCTCCTCCGTCACTTTGGCTGTTGCTGTTGTTGTCTCCTCCTCCGTCACTTTGGCTGTTGCTGTTGTTGTCTCTCCTCCGTCACTTTGGCTGTGTCTGTTGTTGTCTCTCCTCCGTCACTTTGGCTGTTGCTGCTGTTGTCTCCTCCTCCTCCGTCACTTTGGCTGTTGTTGCTGTTGTCTCTCCTCCGTCACTTTGGCTGTTGCTGCTGTTCTCTCCTCCTCCTCCGTCACTTTGGCTGTTGCTGCTGTTGTCTCTCCTCCTCCGTCACTTTGGCTGTTGCTGCTGTTGTCTCTCCTCCGTCACTTTGGCTGTTGCTGCTGTTGTCTCTCCTCCTCCGTCACTTTGGCTGTTGCTGCTGTTGTCTCTCCTCCTCCGTCACTTTGGCTGTTGCTGTTGTTGTCTCTCCTCCTCCGTCACTTTGGCTGTTGCTGCTGTTGTCTCCTCCTCCTCCGTCACTTTGGCTGTTGCTGCTGTTGTCTCCTCCTCCTCCGTCACTTTGGCTGTTGCTGCCTGTTGTCTCTCCTCCTCCGTCACTTTGGCTGTTGCTGCTGTTGTCTCTCCTCCTCCGTCACTTTGGCTGTTGCTGCTGTTGTCTCCTCCTCCGTCACTTTGGCTGTTGTTGCTGTTGTCTCCTCCTCCGTCACTTTGGCTGTTGCTGCTGTTGTCTCCTCCTCCGTCACTTTGGCTGTTGCTGCTGTTGTCTCTCCTCCTCCGTCACTTTGGCTGTTGCTGCTGTTGTCTCTCCTCCTCCGTCACTTTGGCTGTTGCTGCTGTTGTCTCCTCCTCCGTCACTTTGGCTGTTGTTGCTGTTGTCTCCTCCTCCGTCACTTTGGCTGTTGCTGCTGTTGTCTCCTCCTCCGTCACTTTGGCTGTTGCTGCTGTTGTCTCTCCTCCTCCGTCACTTTGGCTGTTGCTGCTGTTGTCTCCTCCTCCTCCGTCACTTTGGCTGTTGCTGTTGTTGTCTCTCCTCCTCCGTCACTTTGGCTGTTGCTGCTGTTCTCTCCTCCTCCTCCGTCACTTTGGCTGTTGCTGCTGTTGTCTCCTCCTCCTCCGTCACTTTGGCTGTTGCTGCTGTTGTCTCCTCCTCCTACGTCACTTTGGCTGTTGCTGCTGTTGTCTCTCCTCCTCCTCCGTCACTTTGGCTGTTGCTGCTGTTGTCTCTCCTCCGTCACTTTGGCTGTTGCTGCTGTTCTCTCCTCCTCCTCCGTCACTTTGGCTGTTGCTGCTGTTGTCTCCTCCTCCTCCGTCACTTTGGCTGTTGCTGCTGTTGTCTCCTCCGTCACTTTGGCTGTTGCTGCTGTTGTCTCTCCTCCGTCACTTTGGCTGTTGCTGCTGTTGTCTCCTCCTCCTCCGTCACTTTGGCTGTTGCTGCTGTTGTCTCCTCCTCCTCCGTCACTTTGGCTGTTGCTGTTGTTGTCTCCTCCTCCTCCGTCACTTTGGCTGTTGCTGCTGTTGTCTCTCCTCCGTCACTTTGGCTGTTGCTGTTGTTGTCTCCTCCTCCGTCACTTTGGCTGTTGCTGCTGTTGTCTCCTCCTCCGTCACTTTGGCTGTTGCTGCTGTTGTCTCCTCCTCCGTCACTTTGGCTGTTGCTGCTGTTGTCTCTCCTCCGTCACTTTGGCTGTTGCTGTTGTTGTCTCCTCCTCCGTCACTTTGGCTGTTGCTGCTGTTCTCTCCTCCTCCTCCGTCACTTTGGCTGTTGCTGTTGTTGTCTCCTCCTCCGTCACTTTGGCTGTTGTTGCTGTTGTCTCCTCCTCCTCCGTCACTTTGGCTGTTGCTGCTGTTGTCTCCTCCTCCGTCACTTTGGCTGTTGCTGCTGTTGTCTCTCCTCCGTCACTTTGGCTGTTGCTGTTGTTGTCTCCTCCTCCGTCACTTTGGCTGTTGCTGCTGTTGTCTCCTCCTCCGTCACTTTGGCTGTTGCTGTTGTTGTCTCCTCCTCCGTCACTTTGGCTGTTGCTGCTGTTGTCTCTCCTCCGTCACTTTGGCTGTTGCTGTTGTTGTCTCCTCCTCCGTCACTTTGGCTGTTGTTGCTGTTGTCTCCTCCTCCGTCACTTTGGCTGTTGCTGCTGTTGTCTCCTCCTCCGTCACTTTGGCTGTTGCTGCTGTTGTCTCCTCCTCCGTCACTTTGGCTGTTGCTGCTGTTGTCTCCTCCTCCGTCACTTTGGCTGTTGCTGCTGTTGTGTCTCCCTCAAAAGACTTTTTATGTCTGTTATCATCTTTCAGGATTTTGGTAAACATGGTGCTCCTTTCTTATTATTCTCAAACTTGTCAGCTGCTGACAAAGCAAAGCTAACAATGTAAATAACTATTTGACAGGAATAGAGCTGGTGGCTGTGACTGCTGATTAGACTTTATTGAAATGAATATGAGGAGATTTTGTATTGGGTTTTTAGACATTTCAACTGTTTTATTAGTATTTCTTGTTCATTCTTTTCAAATGAGTTAATGATCGAAGAAAATATATATAATTAAAACCAGACTGCACATCAATGATCGTGTTAGTGGCCACTACTGCTATGTTTAATATACTTTATTTTTTTCACATTACCACATATATCAATTACATTACATTTTCTTTTGCGTGTCTATCTTTGTGACAGTTATAAATTCACAATTATTTTAAGATTTCACCTAAAACTCAAATTTTGAATGGTAAAGTTAATGCAATGCAGCCATAAAGGAGTAAAATAATGCTAGTTATTGATGCTAGATGCTAAAGTGCTAGATTTTGGTATTTTTACAAGCTGTGAGCAAGTGTAAAATCTCTAACATGAAAATACAGACTTTTGAACGGTTTCCGAGTTTCACCTGAACATGTCAAATTTAAAAATCTAACACAGCATGCATATAGAACAACCTTTTTTTTTAAACCCCTTTTATCGCAAATGCAGCACGGAACGAGCCAGAAAACAGAACAACAAGCTGCACACCTCTTTAGATCTACGTGGAGAGACATCAAAGCCTGGAGGTGCATCTCTCTCCAACAGCCTTTTGAACTGACCTCAGCTTTCAGCCTGAACAGAGAGAGGCCACAGAGTGTGCCGTAATAGAGCAGTACCCTTTTGGCAGGGGCCTGTGTGGAGGGCTTTGCTTGGGGGCACTGGCAGGGGGCACTGGCAGGGGGCACTGGCAGGGGGCACTGGCAGGGGGCACTGGCAGGGGGCACTGGGTGCTCGGAGGGGGGACTGGGACAGTTGGTGGTTTTGGGTGGATCTAGCAGGAGGGGGGGGGGGGGGGGGGGGGGGTGTGATGGAGTTTGTGTGTGGTTTAACACTAAGACGTTGAAGCTACTAGAACATTTGGACTGCGCTCATTCAAACCAAAGGAATTCTGAGGAAATTCCCCCAGTTTTTCACTAGATTTAAGTCTAAAACTGGTGAATTTAACTTGAAATGTTGAAAGGCTAATGATAACTGTGGGAAGTAAACAGTGTGTTGCTATGGAGAGAGAGAGAAAGATAGAGAGAGGCATAGACCAGAGAGAGACCAGAGAGAGAGACCAGAGAGAGAAAGACCAGAGAGAGAGACCAGAGAGAGAGACCAGAGAGAGAGACCAGAGAGAGACCAGAGAGAGACCAGAGAGAGACCAGAGCAAGAGACCAGAGAGAGAGACCAGAGAGAGAAAGACCAGAGAGAGAGACCAGAGAGAGAGACCAGAGAGAGAGACCAGAGAGAGACCAGAGAGAGACCAGAGAGAGACCAGAGCAAGAGACCAGAGAGAGAGACCAGAGAGAGAGAGGCCAAGACCAGAGAGAGACCAGAGAGAGAGATCAGATAGAGAGGCCGAGATCAGAGAGAGAGACCAGATAGAGAGAGAGGCCGAGATCAGAGAGAGACCAGAGTGAGAGACCAGAGAGAGACCAGAGAGAGACCAGAGAGAGACCAGAGAGAGACCAGAGAGAGAGACCAGAGAGAGACCAGAGAGAGACCAGAGAGAGAGACCAGATAGAGAGAGAGGCCGAGATCAGAGAGAGACCAGAGTGAGAGACCAGAGAGAGACCAGAGAGAGAGACCAGAGAGATAGACCAGAGAGAGACCAGAGAGAGAGACCAGAGAGAGAGACCAGAGAGAGGGACCAGAGAGAGAGACCAGAGAGAGACCAGAGAGAGACCAGAGAGAGACCCCAGAGAGAGAGACCAGAGAGAGCGAGGCCAAGACCAAAGAGAGACCAGAGAGAGAGACCAGAGAGAGACCCCAGAGAGAGAGACCAGAGAGAGCGAGGCCAAGACCAGAGAGAGACCAGAGAGAGAGACCAGAGAGAGCGAGGCCAAGACCAGAGAGAGACCAGAGAGAGAGACCAGAGAGAGAGACCAGAGAGAGAGACCAGAGAGAGGCCAGAGAGAGACCCCAGAGAGAGAGACCAGAGAGAGCGAGGCCAAGACCAGAGAGAGACCAGAGAGAGAGACCAGAGAGAGAGATCAGAGAGAGAGAGAGGCCGAGATCAGAGAGAGAGACCAGAGAGAGAGACTGGAGACAGACTAGAGGGAGAGACGAGAGAGAAATGAATCAGAGAGAGACCAGAGATTGAGACAAACGAGAGAGATCAGAGAGACCACATAGAGAGAGAGATCAGAGAGAGAGAGACCAGAGCGAGAGAGAGACCAGAGAAACCTATTTTATTTCATTGTCATTAATATATTTATAGGCATTAACAAACTTAGTTCAAGTTAAATCCACCCGTTTAAACACATATGAAGTAACCATTGAAGTTTTTATTTTAACTACGACTTTGAACCTATCTTGGTGCTCACTTTAAAAAGGTGTTTTTCCTCCTCTGTCGGTGCACACAGCTGCCTCATTATCCCTCGGCTGCGCAGGACGTACATATGTTTAAGCCTAAATACATTTCAAGCTCGACTTACACTGATGACTTTGAGCCTCGGCGCATTACGGTAGCCTGGACAAACAAAACAACCCCGCTGTGCTGCCTGCTTCACCTTTGATTCGCTTCACCATAAATGCACGTGAGAGTGTGATGAATCATTATTTACTGATGTCCCTCAGATCCTCTTTTCCATCTGCTAAAAGCTGCTCTCTCTTTGCGCCGCGATGCAGACGGGGGCAGAGTGTGGAAACAGAAGCAAAATAATGTGTTTCCATGTAATCACGGCGGCGCAGATATCGGTCGAGTGGTGGTAATCTTTACGTTCTTGAGCCAGAGCGAAGCAAACTTTGTGACTGCGTCGTCAGAAGAATAGTCTTTTCCTGTCGGGGTTTCAGCTGCTGTTTGTGACCAGTGTTGGGTAGAAACCTTTGAAAATATATTCTGTTCCAGAACACGGAATACACAGAATACACCTAACATGTAGTTGTATAGTATTTCTGTTATTTTGGAAAAAATAGTACCTATATTCCGAATACATTATTTCTGTATTATTCATAGTTATTGTAAATTAATGTCTATTTACAAAACTTATAAAAGGTGAATTTCAAAACACTTTGAACCACAACCTCAATATATGTTTAAATACATCTGTTCTGTGGTTCAACAGCTGCATTTAACAAACAGAAAAAATAGAATCTTCACATCAAGAATACCTGATGTTTGCTCTCATAGTATGAGAAAGTATTTAAGTAAGTAATCTATATTTATCTATATAATCTATATAATATAATCTATATAATATAATCTATATATAATGCCTTTCACAGACCAGAGTCCAAAGTGTTGTGGGCATTTGTCTCCCACGCCACACAGAGAGCGCGGTCCTGTATGTATTCTAAACACTAGACTTTAAAGTAGTAACTGTAAGGGACTACAGTTACTCAGAAAGTATGAGAGTATGAATACGTAATTATTCAGTAACAGACTATGGATGACAAGTATTACTCCTCGACACGATTTGTGACTGTGTGAAAAATGGGATG